TCATTTATGCACACAGGAGCATAATAAAACACCAAGTGAAATCCATTTTCTTGTCAAATCTTCATGCTGCTCTTACATAGGCAACACTTTTCCAAAATAAAATAAAGCAGGTGCTTTAAGCCAAGATCTCTAGCAGATCTCAGGTGATATATAAAGCATTTAAATACATTGAGAAAACATGTTGAACAATAAGCTATATTTGTATAACTCCAATGAGATTCTGAACTACCATATTCTATCCAAGTCCAAGCTAAGTTGCTTTCAAACACAGCCTCAAGTAAATGTTTCTATTAGCAGAACCATGAAAAATTAAAAGGCTTTATTCAATGCAAACATGGCTAACTATTCAGCATAAATGGCTTGAAAAGGCAAAGAAACTAATTGGAATGTGAGCAATTCTAATCCAGATTTTAAGTGGATAAGGACACTGTCCCCCTCTCACTCTTTTTCCGTTCCTCTTTTGTTTCGCACAAATATATTGCGAGTGAAAGGACAGATGAACCTTATGACAATCATGATAATATGTTTGGCATATGAGTTTTGAAATTAAGCTAAAGGCTGCATAAAATTAAATTAAAGGTCTACGTACATAACCTTTGCCTGCTATGTTTGAAGTTATAAGTACAATATTTGCACTATATATGAATTATACAATAACTTTTTTGAGGGACTCACAAATTATATATCCACCATTATTCTCAAGCATTTAACTTTTCATCATAGCTTTCATGCTGAACAAACAGGAAAGTCGCATAGTAGTGTTTGTAACTGCAATTACATAGAAATGTCATTTCATGCATCAACCCACATTCCTTTAATTATTAATTTAGCTCTACCAATAGGTGGGGTGAATTATTTGTCCCAAGGGACAATGGATGATTGGGGAGGAGAGGAAGTCACTGGAAGTTGTATGTTGATTGTAGTCTGCTCAGCAATACTATGATAGTTGTCAATTAGCATTGAAGTAAGATTAGCTTGGACATCAGTCTGGCTTTGTGCATTAGATGGATATAAAAATGGGAAAATACCAGCTTCCTTTTGCCTTAGTGGCAAAGAAGTGACATTTTAAAGAAAAGGCAAGTGTATAAATTCAACTTACGTTCTTGCAAGATTTATATGAAATTGCAATCCTATTCTTCAATTTGGACAGCTAGAATTGTGCCAATTTTATTGTCTATCTTTTAAGCACCTTTGATTAAAGTTAAACCAGAAAATAAGTTCAAAGACTGCAAACATCTCACATACTCCTTTGTTGTTGATGAAAATTTTCAGTCATCCAGGTGGAGTTGTCTGGAAGTTGAGTCATGGCAACTGGACTTCTTTTCTTGTTGCCTTGAAATGTTTTGCTGCTTATACAAGTAGCTTCTTCAGTCTCAGCAAGTTGTTTAGTTGGTTAGGGGTTAGGTCTTCCAGGGAGTTTCATTTTTCACCTAATCTGAATATGCTCATTGAGTGAGTAGACAGAGAGTCATTGGAATGTAAATGTTCCAATTCCTAAATCCTTTATCCTAAGTAGGTCAATAAGTTGGACTTCTCTGGTGAACCTTTGAAGGTGTCTTAATCAATCTTGGGGATTGATGAAAAAGCAGCCAAAAAATGGGGGGCAGATTGGAGGCCTTCACCCTTATTGAGGGAAGGATTTTCTACTTTGGCATAAATAGATTCCTTCACTCCTTCCTCAAACCATCTATCTTCTCTGTCCAAAATGTGAACATTATTGTCTACAAGAGTGTCCTTTTTCTTTTACGGAAATATATATTGCTGATTCTGGTCCTGAGGTGCTGCTTCCCCTGCATCAGGCCATCCCCTTGTGTAAAGGCTGCTTGGTTTCTCCAATGCAGAGATCTGAACATGCTTTACTGCACTGGATTGCATATACTACATTACTTTTCTTATGTTTTGGTGTCTGATTTTTAGGGTTATTTTCCAATTATTTTCCAAATGTAAACTCCATTGGTCAGGGATTTCTGACAGGTGGAACATAAGAAAAAAAAAAAACTTGTTGTGGCCCTTTGGAACATCTTGCCCCCTGAGGTGAGATGGGCTCCTATCCTTCCGACTTCCACAAGAGCTTGGTTCTGCCAGTTGGTTTGGGGCTCCAGTGGGAAAGTATCACACTTGAGTTGATTGGTGGATCAATAGCAATAGTTGATGGACCCCTGTACATTCTGCACTCTCTCTCTCCCTCCCTTCCTCTCTCTCCATCTCTTAGTTAATATTGTGATTATATGTAGTGTTAGGGCAGCAGACCCAGACAGTGAGGAAGTGGAGGAGGAACATGGGCCAGTCCTGGAGTCTGGGGAAGGCCCTGTGTCAGAGGCAGAGATGGGGCTGCCTTTATCAGCTGCCTTTAGAGTTGGAGATCAGTGGGGCAGAACAGTTGGAGCCTGTTCCCAATATGCACATGCGCAGAGCTGCCAGGAAAAGGGAACAGTTAAGGAACAAGGATCAACTTGGGAGTAAAGGCTCAGGTGGACAGTGAATGGCCCCTCCCATAGGGAATAAAGAGGAGTGAAAGGGGAGGGGTGTTTGCAGGAGACAATTAGTTCAATTAATTAGGGTGAAGATCTGTTCCTGACTTCTTGCCAAGTAATTGCTGCTAGAGCATCGCTTTTGGAAGATATCAGCCTGGCAGCTTTCCAAGCCTGATAAAGGTCTGTAGTTGTGAAATCTCATGAAAGACTGTTTGCCGGGATCTTTGCTGGAGAGGAATTCACTTTAACATAAGTAAAAGGGGTTTTATTGGGATGAGGAGTCTGCTTCATGATCTTGGGAAGTCTAGGTTAGAACATGTAGGTTATGTCTTCCTGTTTCGTTTTTCTAATGTGCAGGGTTGCTACAGTGTGTTTGTGCTAATATGAACAGGGCTTCTCTTATGGGATTGTTGGGTTGTTACTTTGGTATTAGAGCACTTGGATGGTGTGGATAGTTTTATGAGAGACCTGTGTTTTTAATTTGCCATCACTGCTGCTGCTGCTGCTGCTGCTGAGGGTAGCCAGGAAGGTTGCATGGTGTTGTCTTCTTCTCTTGTCTGTTTTATTGTTTAGAAAATGTTGATTTTGCACAGGGGTGTCAAATTTGCGGCCCACAGGCTAGATGAGTCATGCGCTGGCCATGCCCATGCCCGGTTTAACAAAGAAAAAAAGTCATGATATGTCATGTGACACAACTGTGATAAAATGAGTTTGACACTTCTGATTTTGTGTGTTTTCTCTAGTTGGTCTTTTTTATTGAGGTATTTATTTTATTTTATTTATTTATTTGTCAATTGTTTACGAGATAATAAGTAAAAGTGTATACAAAATTATGAATACATGAAATGGGTACATATAAGAAAAATAAAAGAAAAATAAAAGAAACAATAGGACAGGGACGGTAGGCACGTTGGTGCGCTTATGCACGCCCCCTACAGACCTCTTAGGAAAGGGGTGAGGTCAATAGTAGACAGTCTAAGGTTAAAGTTTTTGGGGTTTGGGGAAGAAACTACAGAGTCGGGTAGAGTATTCCAGACATTGACCACACTGTTGCTGAAGTCGTATTTCCTGCAATCAAGCTTGGTGCGGTTAACCTTGAGTTTGTATCTGTTGTGTGCTCTTGTGTTGTTATGGTTGAAGCTGAAGTATTCATTGACAGGTAGGACATTGCAATGTATGATTTTATATACCATGCTTAAATCAGACCGAAGACGGCGTAATTCAAGGTTTTCTAGTTCTAGAATTTCAAGTCTGGTGGCATAAGGTATTCTACAACGAGTAGAGGAGTGGAGAACTCTTCTTGTGAAATATTTCTGGACTTTCTCAATTGTGCTAATATCAGATACGTAATGTGGGTTCCAGACTGATGAGCTGTATTCGAGTATTGGTCTAGCAAATGTTTTGTATGCTCTAGTTAGTAGTGTGATATTACCAGAGAAAAAGCTACGTAAGATTAGGTTAACAACTCTTAATGCCTTTTTGGCTATGTAGTTGCAGTGGGCACTAGCACTTAGATCATTAGAGGTGAGTATTCCAAGGTCCTTTACAGAGCTTGGATCATCAACAAGATCTTGACTATTCAGCTTGTATTTTATTTTCGGATTTTTTTTGCCAATATGTAAGACAGAGCATTTATTTGTTGAGATTTGAAGTTGCCATTTGTTTGACCATTCTGATACATAGTCAAGATCTTTTTGAAGGGTAGCAGTATTGTCTGTGGTATTGAACAGCTTTACATCATCAGCAAAAAGAATGCAGTTGCTCTTAATATGATCACAGAGGTCATTTATGTAGAGTATGAAGAGAGTTGGTCCTAGAACACTGCCTTGGGGGACACCACTATTGACAGGTACAGAATTTGATAGGACACTCCCAATTTTGACCATTTGTTGTCTGTTTGACAGGAATGCTTCTATCCAGTTATGCAGTTGTCCAGAGATACCATAGGATTTTATTTTTAGTAGTAGTTTGTCATGTACCACTGAATCAAAGGCTTTACAGAAGTCTATGTAGATTGCATCTATTGTTTTGCCCTGATCAAGTTGTGTAGTCCATATGTTTTTGCAGTGTCCATATGTTTTTGCAGGTATCTATGTACTGGATCCATACTTTGGGTTGTAAGTATAGGTGGGCTATAGATTCTAGACAATGCATTATGGTCTCTAAGAAAGATAAACATTCTAGTTTTTCTTTTGCCAAAGTTGGTCTCTGGCAGAGAAACTGGTCCTATTAGTTTAGGTAGCCAAAACTACAGAAAAGAACACCCTCCTCTTGTGGAAGTTTTGACATTATTGCAGAGCTGCACATCCTTCCCACAAAACATGTTTGAATATGCAGATATGGTACATGATTCTTCATGTTTAGTGTGATTCAACCCTGCTATTAGAAAAAAAGATTCATGAGGTTGTTCAAACATGTTTTATCAGTCCAAGTGACTGCACTACTAACATTCTGACGATTGCAAAATAATATTTCAACATGACTCATTTGCTGACAAGTTGAAACAAACTCCAAAAAGCACTAAATCCTAGTCACTGCCATATGAAGGATACTTTCTCAAGATTTCTTAAAAATAACAACTCCAAAATGTTACTATTTTCAAAGGTTCTTATACAAACTTAAAGACAGAAATGCATGGACAACATGTCAAATCAGGTAGGGATTTTTGACTTTTTGCAGACCTCAGCAAGAAAAATAGAAATGAAAGAGAGATTAAAGTAACTTTATCAAATGTAAAAGGGAGGAGCCCATTTGATTAACATGCATCTGCTCAGTTAGTATGGATATCTTTGCTAAAGCTTGTTTAGCCATGTCATTAATCTTTCTCCTTTTTACCAACTCAGAATTTTGCACCCAACCAGTGTATTCCTGGCTCCAAGTCTGTTTTGAATGCATAGATTTAAGTAACTTTTTATTTCAGTTTGTGGAGGAATAACAATTAAAATAGTCCTGCTTGCAAGCACCGGATGATCTAAATCTAGATGGAGGCTTGTTCCAAATGTTGTTACAGTCCCTACAAACCCTGTTGCAATAGATTCATATTTTCAGGATTTTCTTCAGGATCTTTGCTGGTTTTTGATAATCAAGAAATATTTATTCTCAATAACTATAAAATAACTCAGATTGTAGGCTAAATAGTAACTGATGTTATTACATTAACATACTGTGTGGAAGAGTTTCTTTGCAGTCAGTCTTCACAGTTGTTTCAAAAAGCCTTTTTTTTTTTTTTGCTTCTATAGCCAAGTGATTTGATCTACTAAACAAGTTTTTCCTAACCTGGCACCTTTCAGACATGTTGGGACTACAGTTCCTCAAATTCTCATATGTTATCCTGGCTGGGAATTCTAAGTGTTATCTCAGTACATCTATAAAGTTTTAGATTGCAAAACATTTTGCCAGCGTGGCTGATTCCCAGCTATGGGTCTGGGCTCAGTTCAAGGTTCATTTTCAATTTCCCCACCTCCAATGACTCTTCTGCTCCCTCATTTTTTAACAGGCAGCAAAAATGGTTTTAATCCATGGGATTTTCACCTGCTTTTCTTAAGTATTTTGCTGCTGCTTCCATTCTCACCTTCTTGCAAATACTTCCAGATGAGAGGAAAAGACAATTAGGCCAGAGGTGGTATTCAGCAGATTCTGACCAGTTCTGGAGAACGTATAGCGGAAATTTTGAGTAGTTTGGAGAACCGGCAAATACCACTTCTGACTGGAGGTTTTACAGTATCCGTCCCCTGCCACGCCCATCAAGCCACACCCACAGAACCAGTAATAAAAAAAATGACTCCCACCAATGAATTTGGCTCTTAAGTTGGTTTAGGCCTTTTCCTAATTGAAGGCCTCATATTAACAATATATTAAAACATTGGCTAAGCAGATTTTGCAAGCATAATGAAATATTTGCAATCTGCCACTTCGCAAAACATGTATCTGCAAGATAATCAATTTTAGAGCTATTTTAGAATATTTGGGGACACTGAGAAATAGGGAACCGAAAGTAGCAGATGGTAAGAGATTTAATATGTACATGTGCTAAGTGACAGTCAGTATGAGCGAACAGGGTAAGACTCTGGTAAAATTCTATTTCAGTGGGAGGGCTGTCTGAAGAAGGATATAAAAGCGAGAGCTGGATCCCAAATCTTGGCCACTGATGGTAGCTATTCCTTGCTGGACCTAGCTACTATTTTTGGACCTCATTGCAATGGGTTTTTGATGAAAATATTATCTTACTGAAATATTGTTGTACTATGTACTTCATGTTTCAAATTACTCATGAAATAATCCTCTGATTCTTAAAGTATTAATTGTTTCTCAGGATTACTGTCTCCATATTTTATTGGTCTTGTTTTATGACACAGAACATTTCAATTCTTCTTTAATTCTTATTTAATGTTAGGTACATTTAATCTTAGCCAAAAGGCTAAGAAGTGATTAGCTGATAAAGGCAAATGGTGACACCTGGAAAATTTGAGAGATGGACGAATTTTAGTTCAACTGAGACACAAACTATGTTTTTTTAAGAAAGGAAGGAAGGAAGGAAGGAAGGAAGGAAGGAAGGAAGGAAGGAAGGAAGGAAATTGGCACTCTCAGTATTTAGTAAATGAGAGGGACAGCTTGAGTTCATTAACACCTGGAGCATCTGTTGAGCCCTTGAATACAGACTCAGTGGACCCAGATCAGACTTGCTAATATTCAGTCTTGCAGCAAAAACTGTTGCAATTGAGGATGGAAGAAACAAATTAGGTGATAATATGTATACATGCGAATAATTTATAGTATGAAACTGTCCTGGGTAGGCAGAGACAACTGGCTATAGGTGATTCCTCAGATAGCTAAGTTCAGAAGATTTTACAAGTGAGAACCAGAATCTTGAATTGCATCCCGAAGTTATCATTATCTTAAAACCTATTTAAAATGGATGCCTCACTGAGACCTGGAGTCTAGAGCAACATATTTTATGTGTGAACCCAAATATTAATATAAAATGGTCTCTTCTTTAAATGAAACAGATTAATTGAGAGCCACATTTGTATATCAGAGTACTCTATAAGGATGGTGATTAGAATTTTTGTTTTTAGTTATGTTGCAGATGGTTTTATTCATGTTTTGTATTATGATATGGCCTCAAGTGTTATTTAAATAAGTTAATATTATTTATTATTTATAATAATTTTGTTATGGCTTTCGGACAGTCTTCAGTATAATATATATAGAAAAATAAGATGCAAAATGTAGGAAATATATAACAGGACAACACAGACATATTCAATTACGAGCTTCAGGTTTTTAAAAAATATCCCAGTAAGCAAACATGATTAGAAAAAGATGCTTGCTCTAAAAAGAAAATTGACATTTTCCTGTGCTGATAGAAATTGGTGTCTGCACACCACATATTTGCAGTTGTGTGATTCCATGCTACTGTCTTTGGGCAGTTCTGCACTGGAACTTAAGCTGTTTATCTCCTGACTGCTCGCTGCTGTTTCTTACACCAACTGAAGAAATACCATTCTGGACTGCTGTGGGGTGGGTCAGTCTGAACAATAGTCAATACAGGACCTGACTGGTCATCCCTTGATTCTGGGCAGGGAAGACAAGCCTTGCTTGCTGGATCCTGTACGACTGATTTGCATTGCCTGCCTTTTCCTTTTAGGGACTGTTCTATCTTCACTAGCCTACTTTCCTTTGCTTTTCAGATGTTTGCACACATGCATGCATCTCAACCTCCTTCCCACATTATCTTCTTCAACATCAACACATTTTTTTCTCTCCATGTGGTACCATTATTGCTCTGATGATACAGTAAATCAGGTCAATAAAGGAACAGGTAGGAGCAGAGGAACATTCCTATGATTTTGTGTGTGTGTTTGTGTGTGTGTGTGTGTGTGTGTAGTAGGTCTATGGAAATTTTATAGCAAGGAAGAATAGATAACTTGGCTTCATGGAAAGAAAGCAGGAACATTTACTATGTTACTATTGTTGTTAAAAAGTAGGATGGAGGAAGACAAGCTCTGTAGCATTGTGGGCAGAATGGAAAAGAAGCCTGCAGAGGAATAGAAAGGGAGATATAGGTGTTGAATAGATCATGAGCTTCTAGGGAGAAGAGAGTTCACTGATTTAATGAGCCATTGTTGGGTGAATTACAAAATTACATTAAAAAATATAGCAATTGCCGATCAGTAGAGAAAATAGCAGCCTGGCAGACCAGGATGAATAGGTTGCACAATGTCATGTGCGGTTACTAGAACAAAGGAAGGGTGTGTGCAGGCATCGCAGCTAATCAGAACTGGAATTGCTATGACTTTCTGCCCATGGAGATTCTCATTTGTTCAGGACATGGTTGTCCCAAAGGTAGTTTTTCAAGAAGCAATTGGACTTTCTGGTTTTTCTTGAAGACGTTTCACTTCTCATCCAAGAAGCTTCTTCAGCTACTTCTCTCAGAACTGAAGAAGCTTCTTGGATGAGAAGCAAAAAGTCTTCACAGAAAAACCAGGAAGTCCAGTTGCCTGTTGAGAAAGTACCTTTGGGACTATGACTTTCTGAAGTGCATAGCACAGCTTGGATTTTTTTTTTGGATAGCATTGAACTGAAGTTGGAAAACAAGGGTGCAGGATACATTTGCAATGGGCTAGGAGTGGAGATCTATCTCTGGGATTGCTAAGAACTGACACTCACTTGATGGCACATAATCCATCAGGAATGGGAAAAGGACAATGTCATCTGTTCCTGTAATCAGGAAGCAGTGAATAACTTATATTGGTAAAAGGCCAGGCAGAAAGAGCACATAGGCACCTCATTGATTTCCCACTTGTCGTGTACCTCAAATTACAGTTTGCAATTTCCCTTTTCTGAAAGGAAGCTATGTGGGTAAAACTGAGCTCTTAAGGTCCTGGGGCTGGATTGGTTTCCTTTTAGCTGAAACTTTCATGTAACCCATTTCTGATTGGATGCAAGATATCCATTTAACTTTGGGCTAAAATGGAGCGTATCCATATACTTATAGATTCAACTACCAAATATAAACAATGCTGCATAGAATCTTTAGGACAAAGTATCTTTAGGCTGCAGAGAAAAATGAATTTCTCATTTAGGATTCACGTTAAAGGTGAAATATTCAGATAAATCTCTTGAGGTTGTTTTTTATGATATTAATAAACATTTATTGGTCAACCCCATTATTGGACTTTACTTGCTTAAATATGACATCCTGGCACCAGTTCTGGGCAAAATAGACTGTATGAGAAAGGCAATGAATGAGAGTGGCTGAAAGGCTGTGTTGGGAACCTGAGAACAGAATGCTACTGGAAGCTGAATCAGTGCACTAACTGAAATGTTCCCTTCCAGGCAGGGTTGGACCACATTTATGAAGTATCAGCATGGGAGCGCCATCCAGGAACTGCCAAAATTTTCTTCAGAAGTATTTTGCTATCCCAGGAAAATGAAACTCTGCGTACGTACTTGTGTGAGCCAGAAGAACAGGCACAATACCCTTCAGGCTCTTTTTGTTTTTGCTTCAGAAACTATTTCATATCCAGCTGTCTATAAGAAATATTTCCAAGTCTTTCTTTGCAGAACATCACATTTTATAAACTTCCCAGTCTTCACTTACAGATCTCCAAATACATAAATACAGATATTTTGGGGGAGGAATATTCACTGCACATAGAAAGATATGGTAGCAGTTTTAAAGGAACCATAAGATAGTGGCATGCAAATTCAATAAATAAACAGATAAATGCCAGCTTTGCCTATCTTTGTGTTTTGAATCCTATAATTAAGAATATCCTAAAATAGAGCCATGGAACTTGGAGCACTCCAGAGTTGTTCTGCTAAACAATTTATTTGCAAAGACAGCAAAATCAGTGATGAAGAAAGACAGAAGGCATTGTTCCATGGTATCTGGAGAGATAAAGATTTTGCTCTTCTCCTGTTATAATCTGATGAGTAATTTTATCAGGGTAGTTAAGCTTATATAGCAAGAACTGGCCACAAGATGTCAGTATGTGATGGAAAATGAAAGGGTCCCATGGTCCTTGTGTAAATTAAAATAGAATTATGCACAATTCAATTCAAAATACAGTATTAATTAAAGGGGATACTTAGAAAGAGAATCTTATCTATATCTCTCCTCTCTCTCTCTCTCTCTCTCTCTCTCTCTCTCTCTATCCATCCATCCATCCATCCATCCATCTATCATTGATCTCTAAAAATCTGTCAACTGAATTAATAATTTTATGGAAAGAATTATAAGATTACTGAAACCTTGCTGTGAATCAAGTTCAAGTCTTAATATGTCAAACTGAATTACTTTACCATTTTTATAACCTCTAGTGTCATTGGTTTTCCATCTTAATGTGCACTGTACATTTTTAAAAAGACAACAAAACACAATGATTCAGAATACATTTTGTTGACCATCAGTTTGCTATGGTTTTCAGGTATTCTGCCTCTGATATTCTTGCTTCTTAAATTCTCTGCCTTCTTACCTTCACTGCTCTTTTCCACTTACCTTCCTATTTTTAAGCTTGCAAAAAAGAAGAAAGGGAAAAAGTGTGCGTGTGTGGAGTGGGTGGGAAATAACTCCATTGTCCCCTCAGTGAGATACTAATCCCAGCAAAATATTTTTTAGTTTTGGCACCTGGATTACAACTCTTTCTTTGCAGCACATTCTCTGAGTAATTGTGATACCGCTAAAATATTCATAGACATTCATTACAGCTTAGACCATAAATAACAGAGACCTCATTCCTTAAGTGCTATATAATAAAGATTCCTCTTTTGATAGTAATTTTAGTGTCATAGTAGCCTGTTCAACAGCCAGAAAGACAAGAAGAACAAGAGCAATTGAGAGAGGGCATTTACATGTCATCATCATTTTTACTCCCAAGTTCTCATAAACTGTCTGCAGGTGACCTAACATTGTCTTTATTTCTGCTAAAAATACTGAGACCAAATAGCCCAAATTACTGCCCTGTTTCAAGTTCTACAATTCTTGCAATACAAAATAAATGAATGAATGAACAAGAAGGAAAGAAATAAAAAGAAAGAAAGAAAGAGAAAGAAAGAACGAACGAAAGAATGAATGAATCATAGCAGCCTGGGCCTTTGGTTGCTTTGCTCTAGGGGTAAATATTAAATGGAAATAGAGAAAACACAATAATTAATGTTACTAATCGTTTTGTTTAAAGAAAATTTGCAAACCTGCTAAGCAAGGGTTTCTATACCAGGATCTGAAACTCAGTAGTCAGAATGATGAAAGTAAGCAAAAAATTGACAAAGGTCTGCGATGAGAAAATGGATTCTCAGTATGATTTTCACAGCCTGTTCTCATTGGAGTGGTCCACGAGAAGAGATTCATAAAACGAATAAGCTACAATCAATTTAATTTTTTTGAAACTGCTTGATGTCATGGAATCTAGAGTTACTTTCAGACTGATATGTGTCGAGATGTGGTTGTAAGAGAAAAAGTGCTACAAATTATTTAAAAAAATATTTGATATATTTCAACTTTCTTAAGAGTAGAAGAAGGTTGTGAAGGAGCTTCTCTACACAGTTAATTGAATCTCTTTGTTATTAGATCTGTACCGATAGTTTCAAAGTCCTCCATGCCTAAGGATTTGCATGAAGGTGTGTAAACATTAACAGACTTTGATGAAACTTGAAAGGAATGTAGATGCGCTCTCTTTCTTTCTCTCTCTCCCTCCCTCCCTGTCTCTCTCTCTCTCTCTCCTTCTCCCTCTCCTTCTCCCTCTCTCCCTCCCTTCCCCTCTCTCCATACTATCTGATAAAGAACCATCCCAAATCATATACGTCCTTTAGGCACCATAAACACCTATCCCTTAGGGAATCTAAAAGAATATATATCATTAATTAAAAAAAAAACAAGAAACCAAAAGTTGCTTCTATTAAAGTGAAACAGTTAAGAAAAAAATATTTTAAAAATATTTAAGCATATTGAAAGCTAAAATCTGTATGGAATAACATGTTACATTTCTGCATGATATTATTTGTAAGATTAAAAAAAAAACATCAGAATTGTTAAATTAAATGAGATGGGAAATGGGAAGAGACAGGAGGAGAAGTGAGCAATATGCTTGTTCCGTAGTCTAGGGTTCTTGAAATATAAATCTATGTTGCAGATGTACCTTGATGAATCTCTTATTTGGTCAGGATGTTTGTAAAAAGAAAGTGAAAGAAAGTAGATAATAATTTAGCATTTAGCATTTAAATTATCTATTTTTGTACTTTTGTACATATTTAAATGGTTAATTCATATTGTAAACCGAACTCCAAAAATTTGGTAACTCAGAAGAACATTTATGGTTGATTACATTTTAGCCCTTAACAAAACAATTTATGGAATATACTGCCATCATGTGGTCATAGGATAAAACTATCAATTCAAGGAGAGTTCATTTGAACCAATAATAAATATTTCATTTTTGGTCTAAATAGATAGCAAGAAAAACAATTTCTTTCCCCAGTATTTCAGGCTGCCAGTCTATCCTAATACGTGAGTACATTTTGACTGAGGAACTAAGCATTCTTTTTCAATTATTAAATATAATTTGTTTTATGTGGAAATTGCATCTGAAACATTGCAAAAATCTCTGTGAAAGTAGAAACATTGAAACAATATTTCAAGTTTTGCATTACTTGAACATACTATTCTCCGTGTATCAATCATAAATTGATTGATGGTTGGAAAGGGGAAGAGAAGCCACTCATATTAAAAAAATATAATAGAATAGAATAGAATAGAATATTGGCCAAGTGTGATTGGACACACAAGAATTTGTCTTGGTGTAAATACTCTCAGTATAAATAAAGAAAAGGTACATTCGTTAAGAATCAAGAATCATAACATACAACACTTAATGATAGTCATAGGGTACAATCAACAATCAAATCATACTAGGAAACAGTCAATATAAATTATACAGATACAAGCAACAAAGTTACAGTCCTACAATCACAAGTGGGAGGGGATGGATGATAAGGAGTGATGAGAAGATTAACAGTAAAAGTACATTTTGTAAATAGTTGAACAGTGTTGAGGGAATTATTTGTTTAGCAGAGTGATGACTTTCGGGTACAATGAGTACAATGTACACAAATACAAAGGGATGGGGCTTCAATTATGCAATCATGTTTTGTTATCTTGAATTTTTTGATCCCTCCCTCCTGAAGACTCTACTGTCTCAAGATAATCTATGACTGTGATGATGAATCTATGGCACGCATGCCGGAGGTGGCACACAGAGCCCTCTCTGTGAGCACATGAGCCATTGGCCCAGCTTAGCTCAGCTCTGCTGCGCATGTGTGCACACCTCCTGCCAGCCAGCTGGTCTTCAGGTCTCTGCTGCGCATATGCCCCCCCGATGCACGGGGATGCGCGTGCATGTGCAGGGGGGGAGCGTATGCAAAGGGGATAAAAAGGTTAGCCATCACTGATCTATGATATGCTTGCAGTTACATTGCAGACTTTTGAAAATCTTTATTGGAAATTTCATCATTCACTTATATACTGGTAAGCTGGACATACTGGATACTCCTTTTTTGATGAACTGTTCCTCCTGATATCTTTTCAAAATGGCCCTTTTGTTTTTATTTTTTTTGGTGGTGGGGGAGGGACTTAGACATGATATTGTCATCGACTTTTAATGGAGTAATTGTGGTGATTTTATCAATGGTATCTTTCTGCTAATATCTGAGTTTTCTCTAATTTTGGGTTGAAACCTCCAATGCAACTTCAAAAGTTGCTACCAACTTTTAATTTGACAAAAGAAGTAGTAATTAATAAAGTTGAACATAAGCGAAGACAGAGAAGGAGGAGAGAAACTCTCAGGTGGATATTGAGGGTTATACCTAGTCAGATTCAGTGTTGGTGAATTCCATTTTGCTTCTGTCCATCCAGTGTCCCTTACACATGGTTACCTTTATCTAAGAGTATAATAGTAAAGTCTTCAATGTCATCAGGACTCCTAATGATAGAAGTAACACATGGAAACTTATTAAGGACAGATCCAACCTAGAACTTAAGGAGAAAGGTGATATATGGAGGTGGTAGAGGTGGTGAAGAGTGGGGAGATTGCTTGCTGAGTGGAGGGGAGCCGCATCTCTCCTCCTTGGCTGGTCTAAACTCCCTTCCCCGAAGGTGGTTGCGGCAGTGGTCAGAAATGGCCACCTCAAAGAAGAACCCGACTGGATAAGATTGTGCAGGAGGAAGACAAAGAGGAAATCAGGACAGACCAGGCTAAACAACAGAGAACATCTAAGCAAGGTACCCTGAATCTGAAAGTACCTAGAGGGATACTTCTGAAAGAAGATCTTTAAGTGGTGAAGGAGAGAGAAAAAGAGGTTAAAAACCCTTTTTTTACTTTTATATTGACAATTACAAATGGTATGGAAAGAAATTTATATTAATCTATTTTGACACTAATAGGCAACCTTAAGCTGAAATCTAAGTGTCAAAAGGAGAATAAAGATTTTTTTCTTGGTGATTTTAAAGCCCTAAAAAGAAGAAGAAGTGGAGGCAAAAGGGTGGGACTTGGAATAATGGAAAAATGGAGTGCCACCTGGAAAAATAAAGAGGATTAACAGTGAAACTTTGAAAAGACTTCCGAGGATACATTGTAACTGAAATCTTATTAAAAGATACAGTAACCCACAGAAAGGAAAAGTAAAGGCAAGAAACAAGAAGGAACAGTCTGGGATCATTTGGTGATTTAA